AGGAGCAATTTGTGGTGAAGTGTCTCAGGGACACAACGACATGCTGACTGCAGTGGGGTTTGAACCTGTGACCCCCTGATCCGAACACCAACGCACAACCTACTGCACCACACGCCTCCCCACGTCACTATGTTCAGGAAGTAAATAAAGCAGTCCAATGGAGGCGTTTCAGGCATGGGGGGAGTGTGTGGGGGATTTACATGCACAAAAACCTATATAACACACTACAGGTGGGGTGTCAAACTCAAGGCCCGGGGGCCAAATCCGGCCTGTGACTTCATTGTCTGTGGCCCCACAAGAGCTTGCAAAGAATATAATATGTTTATTATACGGTTACATGCTGATTTACGGAAGCACGTTGGCCATAAACTACATGTCCCACAATGCATCTCAAATTTGACTTTTTTTTCTCAGAAGTGTTTTTTCTTCAAAATTTTCTTTTTTTCCTCAGAATTTGACTTTTTCTCAGAATTAGTTATTTCAAAACGTTGCTTTTTTTTATAAATGTTACATTTTCTTTTTTATTTGGCTTTTCTTCTAAAATCATTTTGTGACATTCTCACCGAAGAGAATTGCAATTATTTGCAGTAGACTTGCTTTCAGACGTAATTATGAAGTTATTACCCCATCCGATAATAATCCAATGCAGAGGCAATAATGTAATATAATAAATCATTTTATATATATTAAATATTTATATAGTCTTGAAGTTACAACCTGCCCTTTGAGTGCCACCATAATTCCAATGTGGCCCGCGATGAAATTGAGTTTGACACCCCTGCACTACAGGAAAGGGAAAACCCCTGAAATCATCAAAGGGCCTGTTTAATGTGAAGGATCTCAGTACTTCTTCCACCACAACATAACCTAACTCTCCAAAAGAAAAATAATGGTCTTTATTTTAGTCCCACATTTATATTTTGGTGTCCCCAGAAACAAATTAGTTTTTTTTTAAATCTACATTTATTTGTGGATCATTGCTTGGGTCATGCTGGAATAGCAATATGAAGATTAAGCAAAAACTATTGAATTCCCAGATTGTCAGCGTTACTTTTTGCTTGTTAAACAGCCAAATCTGAAACTAAATTAGAGCAGTGCCGCTGGGTTTTACAAAAATAGAGCCCCAAATGGTTTTGTAAGCGAACCTGAGAAAGTTAATACACCACCCTCTAGAACTTTAAAGTAGTGCCTGCTGTGTAAAATCTCCATAACAATTTGATAACCTGTAAGAAAAATGTGCTTTTTACTCTGAGAGGATCTGAGAGTAGCTTTAAGACTTCCTGTTTCTCTGCTCGTGTCTTTTCACAGTGATCGGCATGTAATCCGTTGCTTTCTCTCCCTCCTGCACTCCCCAACACTCCTCAACCATTTCAATGGTCACGATGGGGGGTAATCCCTCTTTTTTTGTGCGCCATCAATCCCTCTCTCTGTCGGATATGTGGAGTCTGTAATGGATCGTTAGCCAGCAGAACAACTTCAGCTCTGACAGCATGTTGGGTATCAGGTCTTAATGTGCGGCTTAATGCGTGAGTGTGTGTGTGTGTGTGTGTGTGTGTGTGTGTGTGTGTGTGAGTGTGAGTGTGAGTGTGTGTGTGTGTGTGTGTGTGTGTGTGTGTGTGGTGGGCATAATCTGCGCTCAAGGCCTTGTGCTGAGCATAGCAGTGTGAATATCACATTGAGACGTGTAATAACCGGATTAACACACACACCACACAGAGGGCTCTCAAAACAGCTGTTCAGGTATCTCTTTGAATTTCTTCCTCCTTATCATACAGTCTTTGGTAAAAGTAATTTTCCGTTAATCAAACAGTTTTCCTGCCGATCTTTTGAAATTAGATCGGCAAAAAAATATTGATGTATCTAAAAACAAGGCCTCGATTGGTTTTAAATGTCTTGAATCACATTTGTTGACTTTTATATATATGTAATATTTGCCTATAACGTAGTGCAGTAGAATTACAAAGTAGCATACAATGGAAATACTCAAGTAAGGTATGTCAAAACGGTACTTAAGTGTGGTACTTGGCTAAATGTTCTTAGTTACTTCTCACCACTGGGCTCTGTTAGTGTGTGCATGTTACTCACTGTGTGAAACGATGATTTCCATGTTGATTTGGACTATCTCTGTCTCTCGTACCAAACACCACAGCCTGCTGCTCTGCTCCTGGAGCTGAAGGAAGGTTTCAATGTTAACGCCTTACTTTTATACAGAGTCTTTTCATAATCAAAGGAAGCCAGAAAAATAAGGTGTGTATGCATACATGACTTGTGAATGCATGGTGTGTCTGTACCATTTGCCATGAGCCTGAGTTCCTGCTCCAGATCGTGGAGTGTATGTGCAGTGGTGTCAGCGTCCAGGTCGGGGTCCTCGCAGCCCATCTGGTCCACACTACAGATGTCCATGATCTCTTGGGCTGCCTGGGATAACGGACGCAACGCTGGACCTATTCCTGAGCCCGATGCAGGACGAGACAAGCCGGCAGAGAGAGGGCTTGGAGACTGCATTGGTGTGGACTTGCCAGACAGTGAAAACCCTGAACAAGAAAGAAAGAAAGAAAGCATACATGTATTATCTTATTTAACTACACACGCAACATATATTGCATGTGTGGTCGTCCTGGGAGAGGAATCCAGCTCTATTGATTTCCAAAAAGTTCCTTCCTCCTTTTTGTCCCATACATTTGAAGGTTTTTCTGCAAGGGTCTGAGTATGCTGCACACAGGGCTTTAAGGGTTACTTTAAAAATGTATTCCCTTACAATTACTAGTTACAGTAACTTCATCTTAGTATCACAATATACAAAAAGTTAAAAACACAATTTAAAAAAGTGTCCCAGTATCTGGTAACTGTAAGGGGAAACAGTTACCTTTTTAAATGTGGTATCCTGATTCCTAATGCCCTTAGATGTATTCCATTACTCCCCAAGCCTGGCTGTACACACTGTGAAACTCCCTTAGAGAAATGTGCACTTTTTGATATCGGGCTGTAATTGATTGTTGTATCAATGCACAGTAAGATAGATGGCAGCAATGTTTCTGAGGACACACAGAGGTACAGAGTTCCGGAAAGAGATGGGAGGAAGACAGGAGAAAGTAAGAGCAAGGAGAGGAGCGGCTCGAGACTGGGTGAGAAGAGGGTGAGAGACGGAGACTCTCACAGCAGTCAGTGGAATGAGTGGTGTCTCATCCCACTCCACTGCGAGCCACATCAAATTGAATCAGATTGAACATCCATCTCCACCTGCTCACTGTAAATTACATCGAGGCCCCCATTGAGAAGCTATGATGGTGTGTGTGTGTGTGTGTGTGTGTGCGTGCGTGCGTGCGTGCGTGCGTGCGTGCGTGCGTGTGTGTGTGTGGCACACTGATTCCTCATGCTGTGTGCTGTCTAACCAGCTTCAGCTCCAGTGTTAACTCTTTTATTCTTTCAATCTTCCATTGTCTCCTTAGCTCCGCCCCCTCCCTCCCTCTCCCAGTCCCTGGCTCTGTCTTCAGAAGACACAGAACCTCCACTTAGGGCTTCACGAGCAGCGGCGCTGTCAAACCAAGCAGCATGGGAGCAATGATCCATGCAGGACAGCGCTGCTTACACGTGTGCACTCGCACATACCTGTAGACTCAATGTACATCCATCTCAAAGGAGATAGCTCTCGATGTTGGGTTCTGATAAACGCTTTGCCTGATTTATATGTTATCAGGGTAAAGTGAGAGTGAGACTTAAATCTCTCTGTATTAACGCCTTTCAATCGTACAATGTGTTGGAGCGCTAGCCAATAGAAATGCGAGTGTTACATAGTGACATAGCCTCTTCAAATTTGAATTTACATGTCTCCAGCCTGAATCTGCTTTGTGGTTTTCACTTTCTTCTTTTTAATTCGGTAGGTAAACGTGTAAGTTCATAAAACTGTGTGTGAGTTTAACTGTGTGTATTAAACTAAACCGGAGCTTTTTCTGTCAGCTCAGATTTTATTTCTGCTTCTTTAAACTGTAATATGTGCTCATGTGTTTCATTGTTGGTGTATAGGCTACTGCCTGAATATGATTAATGAAAGGCAGGTTTTCCTTTAAATAAAATCTCTGAGCAGAGGACACATGTTTGATCCTTAATATCTGGGTTTCTTCTTTCCTAAGGTGACATAGTTCTGTTATCTTATACACTTTAGTAAAACACATGTTATTGATATTTATTTTCTCTTGTATTTGTTTGCAATTGAGTTTGAAGGCTAGTAATTGTAACTTGAAAAGGAGTTCCCTACTCAGAGAAAAAGATGCTCAGCAACTCAAAGCTATTTCAAGACTTTCATAAATGACACACGGGAGCCGAAGCACAGATGTTCCTGCGAGCAGCCTTCCTCACTGCGCTGTCAGACACACACTGGAGCAGCGCTCTGACAAGGCGGCACAATGAGGCTCAGGGAAGGAAGGAGGAAACTCGCCGAAACGTCTGTGATAAGGTTCCCTGGAGGAATTAAAAAATATTGAAAAAATTGTGGAGACCCAGGAGTCCTTCTGATGCTTTAATTACATATGTTCAAAAGGTTCTGGAGCTCGAGAGGTTTCACAAGTGTGGACCACCTTTCCAAGCATTCAACTTAACTAGACTTAAATGCACCACGGTGCTCACTTGACTTAAAGTATTTGATGTTAAAGTACAAATGAATAAGGACAGGAATAAAACATAAACATTTTTAATACATTTAGAGCCAATCAGAGTCCTTTATTTATCCCAAGGGGGAAATTGGTGACGTCTGGTGGGTTTTTTTTTTTCATACTAATGTCATTTTGACCAGTTTATCAGAACATGTGGTACATTATCGTTTTTGGAATCACATGTTAAAATATCACATATCTGCAATACATGAGAGCAACACATCTGAGTACTTGCCCCGCCCATTTTGGGTGAAAATATTTGCTGTCATTTGACTTATGGTAAATCCAGATGCTGGGGTCTTCACCAATCTGATTATAAGAATCGGAATACTGTACATCTTATTATCTACAAGAAGCCCAAAGGCAAAGGTCATTCAGGCAAACAATTACACAATATCATTGGAGATCATTGATCTTTGTCGATATGGTGAAATAAAAGCAATACATTATTGATGTCCTTAACAGGCTAGCACTTAAACTGGGATTTCCTTTGCATGTCATTGATTTATATTTCAATGCAACATCTGCAGTCTCTACTTTGACTTTTAACATTACAACTGTTTGACGTTAGCCACGTTAGCATCATAATGTAGCTGTGGTGAAGTGTTTCCCACAGACGTATTGAATTACCACGTTGATTACGTTTTCTGTCCTCTTTGTTGATGAAGAGAAGACACAGATATTACATTGTACTGCCCTTTTTTCTACTTAATAATAAAGAAAATAGTTACTTAAAATCGTTTTGGTTGTTTGCCATTAAATACATGACACAGCAACTTTTAAAGAGGATGACTCTTTTTTTCCTTTTCGTGCTGATTCTTTGTTTTCATCAGAAAGGGGAAGGCTCTCTCATTTCGCCAGGAAGTGACACAGCGCTGCGCTCATCTATGTTTGGGTAGTTTGTCCACATACTTCTGGCCACATGGTAGCTACATATATCTGGGTTATCAGCAGTATCAGAAATGTGTTGTGAGTGCAATAAAATGTATGAAGATCCCAGGGCTAAACTGCTTGGAAGTTTAGAAAGAACAGAGTGATGGATTGAATTGGGTGTATTTAAACATGGTTGTTGTTGTTGTGTGAGGGAAAGAGGGAGGGGAGTGTGTGTGTGTGTGTGTGTGTGTGTGTGTGTGTGTGTGTGTGTGTGTGTGTGTGTACATAAACAGATTGCTGCAGTGTTTCTGGGTTGTGAGCGAGGGGAGGGAAGTGATGAGAGGACAGATTCCTGGACCAACTCCCAATACTGTGTGTGTGTGTGTGTGTCTTGCATGTGTGTCTGTTCATGCTCGAGAGTGATACGGTATAATCTCTTTAAGAAACCTGCGCGCATACTCAGTGCCAAGAAAGAGTGGCTAAATGAAGAATTGAGGTGTATTAATTGTGTGTGAAATGGAGTTTTGTGTGTTAGCAGGAAGAGGAGCTCAGCGCGCTTGATAGTGTTCACACAGACAATACACACACACACACACACACACACACACACACACACACACACACACACACACACACACACACACTTACCAGATGTTCCTAGTTTGTTTGCTGATATTTCTCCTCTCCTTGTGGGTATGGCTGAGTGGTTTTGAATTCCAGTTGGCTGTACGAGCTTGTTCTTCATCATTCTTGAAACCAGGTCTACCTCAGTGTAGGGGCTGCTTGGTCCATGACCCTTTGACCCTAAAAGAGTGAGAGAAAACTCTGAGAGGGTGCACACTGAATACAAGATATGGGGGGGGAAAAGATACTCAGAACAGCCATACAATCAATCAATAACTCAAATGAATGAATCACACTATTAGGTTTCCAAAAAGTTGTACCATATTAAAATCAAACAAATACATATTTATATAGGCAAAGTAGAAGTCCTTGTAGCCACAGTGACATGATGAACACCCAGGCTCATGGTGAAGCAATGCAAGTCAGCCCAAACAGTTAGGAAGAAATCGATGGAAATGTTTTCGTCAGATATATCCTGGTGCAGCCATGTTTCAGTAAAGCTCATTGAACTACACTCCAGATATTCAGCCAGGCTCCTAGCTACAGTGGTTAGCTCGTCCATTAGTAGCCAGTGATCTTACGGTGCCCATAATGAAATGGGGGAGACACAGCACCCAGCTCTCCTCCTTCGTCTCTTCGGTTTACCCTGCAACCTCTGTGTCCTTCTTCAGATTTCAGTGGGGATTGCCGTTTCTCAGACCATCATGCTAGCCGGCCTTAGCGTGATTAGGTCCCCCCTGGTGTAAACATGGCAGCCATACAGTTGCTAAACAACAGTTGCGTGGATGCACAATAGCAGCAACTTAAAAACAAACAAGACATATCTTTACAAGAAAGTTTAGAGAGGGCACAGCCTCATAATTTATTAGTAGAATGTATTTAAGGAAAAATAACAAGAGAGATCAAATGAGAAAGCTCAAAGTTGAAAAGTTGCTGGAGTAACAGGTGGCATGCACACTAGATTGCCTTAAATGTCTGAGAACTTTGGTATTTTTAGAGTACTATTTTATCCCTTCTGACACTGTTTTGAACACATCTCTTCACTCTACCTATATTGCTCATTACATGCTCTACACGACATTTGAAAAATCTGGAAACCGTTTAAATGAGAACCGAGGAGAGATCGTACAACTTCACGCTGATATCAGTAGGACATATCGCTCCCAAATGGAAATAGCAATGCATTTGATTTGCTATCACACTCCAACAGTGAGTGATTTTGTGTAGATCAAATGCATGGAATAAGGTTTTTTGTGTGACGAATCGATACACAAAATACAAAGCTGCTGGGTGATTTACTGAATACAGTCATTCGTTTTCATGGTTGATCAATTTAAAAAGTAAAACTAGGTCATGGTTGTATTTTGCAGTGCTTATATTTGGAGTCTATCACTACAAGTGGTACAAATGATTAAAACCTTGTCCTAACACATCCATTCAATATACTGTACAGGAGAAACAATGAATAGAGAATAATCCATGGCTGTGACGAGCTTCCTCCATCCATTAGCCTTTTTGTGATTAGAAATATATCAATGAATCCAAGCAAATTTGGTAAATTACATTTGATACAATAATCCATTTTTGTTCATTCAGCGGCAGCATCTGCACCAAACCAATAACCGCTTCAGCCAATCCTGACAGCTGCAGAGCAATTACTACAGTTTTTTCTTCTTTCTCTCCAGTGGTTAGCCAATCAATTATTACTATTGGCTGCATGAATAATCTACTAACTAGTCTAAATCAGCTGCAAATGAAAAGAGGAAGAGGAGGAGTGTGTGAGACAGCTGGCTTCTAAATTCACAGAGGGTTGAAAATACAAAATGAGTCAGAAATGCAGATAGAGCTATCAATATAAGTCGGTCTTTCTGCTTGTTTTTTCATCTATGTTTGTGCTGGACTGCATACTAAAGCTCATGTCAACAGCTTATAATAACTATCACTGCCAAAAGGGTAGACAAAGGTCCTCAGTGTTGACATTTATAAAAACAAGTTAACCTAGAGACCAAACTCAATTAAAATGTCACTGCTCCTTAGCTAGCAACCGTTAGCTATTTAGCTAGCAAACATTACCTATCTATCTATCTATCATTGATCTATCTATCTATCTATCTATCTATCAATCTATCTATCTATCAATCTATCTCTATCTATCTACCTATCTACCTATCTATCCATCCATCATCTATCTATCTATCTATCCATCCATCCATCCATATATCTATCTATTCATCTATCTATCTATATATCTATCCATCCATCTATCCATCTATCCATCCATCAATCCATCTATCTATCTATCTATCTATCTATCCATCCATCTATCTATCTATCCATCCATCCATATATCTATCTATCTATCATCTATCTATCTATCCACCCATCAATCCATCTATCTGTCTATTCATCCATCTACAGTATCTATATATCTATCCATCCATCCATCTATCTATCTATTCATCTATCTATATATCTATCCATCCATCTATCTATCCATCTATCCACCCATCAATCCATCCATCCATCTATTCATCCATCTACACAGTATCTATCTATCTATCTATCTATCAATCATGTATCTATCTATTTGTAAATCAAGCTACCTAGTTAGCTAGCTTACTTTAGCTACCTGTCTAACAAGCTTGCTAGCGAATGTTAGCTATCCAGCTAGCTTTAATTGGTGGCTCATGTAATTTAAATTGGAATTATTATTTAACTCCCNTGGATGGATGGATAGATAGATATATGGATGGATGGATAGATAGACAGATAGATAGATAGATGGATTGATGGATGGATAGATGGATAGATGGATAGATAGATAGATAGATATATGGATGGATGGATAGATAGACAGATAGATATATAGATAGATAGATGGATGGATAGATATATAGATAGATAGATACTGTAGATGGATGAATAGACAGATGGATGGATGGATGGATGGATAGATAGATAGATATATAGATACTGTAGATGGATGAATAGATAGATGGATGGATGGATGGATGGATGGATAGATAGATATATAGATACGTGTAGATGGANATCTATCTATCTATCTATCTATCTATCCATCAATCATGTATCTATCTATTTGTAAATCAAGCTACCTAGTTAGCTAGCTTACTTTAGCTACCTGTCTAAGTTAGACAGGTAGCTAAAGTAAGCTAGCTAACTAGGTAGCTTGATTTACAAATAGATAGATACATGATTGATGGATAGATAGATAGATAGATAGATAGATAGATAGATAGATACTGTAGATGGATGAATAGATAGATGGATGGATGGATGGATGGATAGATAGATAGATATATAGATACGTGTAGATGGATGAATAGACAGATAGATGGATTGATGGGTGGATATATAGATAGATNTTGTTTTATTCCATCATCTCTGGCTTTTTTGGCGTCCGTCAGGAACTGAAAAATGTCCCTTATAGGCCTACGTCTGTTTCCTGTTATTTTTATTTTGAAATTCAGTTCCTGACGGACGCCAAAAAAGCCAGAGATGATGGAATAAAACAAATAAATAAAAACAAGGATAATTGTGTGTTATTGGTGAGTAAATAACAGTGTGTTATTTCGATAAGAATAACAAATGAAGTCTTCCAAGACCCGAACGGACAAAAAGACGTGCTGCAGGCACGAAACATACTACCAATAGAAATACATTGCTTTTAAAATCGTTCTGTGTGACACGAAAAAAAAAGGGGAAAATCATGTTGGTGAACACGAATCAATAGATTAAATGTCGTAACTATAACACGAAATGCGGTGAGACTGGGTTGGCTATAGCCAGCGAAGCACAAGGTGAACACTTTTATTCATAGAGATGAGTGTATCTCTTCTCTCTCTCTGTATAGTCTGTCTATCCATCTGTCTCCACCATCTCTTTCGACTCCACTTCGAGCGATAGAATTACTAACAAAGAATTGCTAACAGAGCACTTATATACTAATAAAGGACTGGCTTATCTAAACCTGATGTACTTATATGATTCTGTTTTCTTCAAGTTTGTATCTTCTTGATCGAATGTACTTACTGTAAATCACTTTGGATAAAAGCGTCAGCTAAATGTAATGTAAATGTAGTGTCTCTCTCTTTGGATGCACACGAGACAGAAACTGCACACTAACAACCTCATTTTCTGACTGACTGGGGGACAGAGAGTAGGAGGGAAAAAAGAGAAAGAGAGGTGGAAAGGTAGAGCAGGAGACATATAAAACCTGTTGGATCTCAGCCCTGTCTGCCTGGGAAGAAAAATAAAAAAAAGAGTAAAATAGAGGAGACAGATGGAGGGACATAAATGAGTGCAGAGGGTTGTCAAGGTGATATTCCTCCTTGCTAACCTTTCTCTCTCATTAACTTTGGAGCTTTAACGACGGTGGCAGAGACGGTGCGGGGTTTGACGAGCAGCGGGCGGCATGGTGAGGAGTCTCTCACTGTCGACCTCTTTCGTTTAATGCAGGCTACACAGTGAACCGGTGAAAAGCTGGCCTTCCATACGTGATGAGGGAGAAGGTTGACGGGATTATTTTGAGCTAAAATAATTTACTTAAAGGGACAGTTTACCGGAAAATACAAAAACATTATAATTGCCCTCTAACCTGTGGTGCTGTTTAGGAATCAAGATTATTGTAGTTTCTGAGATTTGGATATATCAATCTTATAGCTGTCAGTATTCTTTTAAAGATGACGGAGATCGATGGCACTTGAGTAGTGGTGCTTGAAGCGGACGAAACATATTTTCTATCTACCGAAACACACTCACCTAAATTGTGACACAGCTTATTTGAATACTCCATTCTGATTGGTCATATTGGACATTTTAGAGTTTGTTAATTGTTGCTAACAGATCGCTGCTAAGGAGAGCAGACTGTTGCTAAGGAGGATCAAGGGACTTAGTGCAATCAAATCAATCCGCAGCAAGAAGTACGGTTAATTCAACTTCTGCTGGGAACAGCAGAAGAAGACAAACAGGAAGTGAACAGGAACAAGGTATGGGCTCTGGCAGTAATTAAAGAATGAGGCTGCATCTCACTTTGGTTCAATGAAATCCTTGCGTCCCTCATTAGCGTCGTTTCCCTGCGTTTAGTCCCTCCCACCAGGGAAGCATGGAGAGACGCAAAGAAACCACGAGAAACAGGGAAATTAGTTTTAAGAGCAATG